TAGTCAAAGCTCTTTACAGGAAAGATCAGGATAGCGAGAGAAAAGGGAGTCTCACCCGGATTCACCACGGTGGGTCTTCATTCTTAGTTGTTCTTTTGACTTGCGGTTGGTGCAGCTGGGTGATCGGCCATTTTACTGGCTGAACTTCTTCTCCGTCGGGCCTCAGAGTTCACTCGGCCAGCTGGGGGAGCCACCGCTCCTCCACAGCCGAGCACAGCCTCCTCGACGGTAGTCGCACCCTCCAGGGTGACTTTCGACCCGCATAAGGGTCTACTGGCGGAGGGAAACTAGCTGAAGAGGAGACAAGTCTCCTCCTGCAGCTAGAGGTGCTGCCTCTGGAACCGGAAGTCCAGTTGCTGGTCAATGTTGATAGAATGGGAGATGTTAATATCAAGAGAGGAATCTTCCAAAGAGACTCACTATCAGTACTACTGTTTTTCATTGCATTGATTCCTCTGTCAACAATACTGAATAGCTCAGACCATGGCTATCAAACATCAAAAACATCTGCCAGACTATCCCACCTCATGTATATACAGCCAAGATATGCCATGCTTGCCATCAAATGTGGAAAAATTGTGAAAACTGAAGGAATCAAGATGCCCTATAGGCTCCGGTGTTGCTGGGGCTCTGCTGAGGGGCCAGGATTGGCCCATGCCGCTCCAGTTGACTGGCACTTCTGGCAGCCTGGGGGGTGGCTGGCAGCCACATGCAGTCTTTGGGCAGAGATTCACCTGGAGCTGCAGTGTTTCTGGGGCTCTGCTGAGTGCCCAGGATTGGCACACACAGCTCCAGCTGATCGGTGGTTCTGGCAGCCTCTGCTATCACCGGGAGCAGCAGACAGGCCTTGGCGTGAGAGAGTCAGCTGGAGCTGCAGAAGCCCCAGGATCGGCGCGTGCAGCTCCAGCTGATCAGTGCTGTGTGCAATAGCAAGCCAGGGACTGGGTGACTGCATGGGGGAGCGAGACTTGGGTAGTGACCGATGCTGGAGCTCTCCCTGAGCCTTAGAGAGTGGCACACCCGGAAGAGAAAAGGAGGAGGAGATGAGAGAGAGGAGACGATATAAAAGGAGGAGGTTTTGGCGGGAGAGGGAGAGAAAAAAAAGATGACGGGGAAAGAGAAGGGGATGGAGAAAGAGAGAGGGAGAAGAGGAGAGGCTTTTGTGAGACAAGCAGAGGAGAAAGAGAGGAGAAGAGGAGAGGCTTTTGTGAGATGAGCAGTGAGGAGAAAGAGAGAAGAGGAGAAGCTTCTGTGAGACAAGTAGAGGGATCAATGAAGGAGTACAAGCTGTGACAGAGAGAGAGGAGAGGGAGAGAGGAAGAAGGGCCAACCAGCCACCTGACCACCAAGGTAGTGGTGCACATTAATAAATATGGATAAATTTGTCATACGTTTGTCAGTGCAAAGGGAAAGTGATTCAGCAAAGGAACCGCCACTGAAGAAATTAAAACCGGTATTTTTTCTTTGTCTTTTTTTTGGGTCATCAAGTTTTTGACACCTTGCTAAGCACTGGTGGTACTCGAATATTGTCATGTCCTAAAAGTGGTACAATCTGTGAAAAGGTTGAAAAGCACTGCTCTAAGCTATTTAGTGTCCTTGTGCTCCCACACAGCATTATGGTTTCACACAGATATACGTTTTCAAAAACCAGATAAGAATTTTTTTAAAAAGAACAGGGTCACTTGCCATATTTCCTGAGAGAAGATTTTGTCCTGTCATTGAACTGTTACACTTTTGTAGTTTTGCACAAAACTAGCAAGGACAATAGAAGTACTGGCAACATTACCAGCCAGCTACAGGTAGTCATCAACTTACAACCATAATTCAGCCTGGAATTATAGTCATAAGTCATGCCAGTTGTTAAGCAGGTGATCATGTGACCAACCTGATTTAATGACATTTTTTGTGGTCAAGCAAATGCTATGGTCGTTAAGGAAGTAAATGCTGGTTCCTGGCAAAACAATGTCATAAATTGTGCTCATGTGACTGCATGACACTGCAAATGGCCATAAATGTGGGCCAGTTGCCAAGTGCCCAAAATACTGCATGAACATGCGACTGGGGGGCAGGAGCTGGCCATCGGAACTTTAAATCTGGGTTGTAAGTATCTTTTGGGGGGAGTCTATCATAGCTGTGAATGGTTTCTAAGAGACCAGTCATTAAGCAAGGGCTACCTTTAATCCAATACTATTTTATTTGTTTTATTAAATTTCTATGCTACCCATATCTCTAATACAGCAGCTCTAAGCAGTTTACAATATAATAAAAAGTTTAAAAGTGCTAAAAAAAATTACATTAGAACAGACATGTCAAACTCGCAACGTCACATGACATTGCGCAACGTATCGGAGCTTTTTCCCCATTGCCAGCAATGGGGTGGGCACGGTTTCCTGGTGACGCATCTGGCCCGTGGGCCAGCAATTTGACACCCCTGCATTAGAATAAAAAGATAAAAAGTTAAGAACCAAGATGATGGGCAGCCTGGGGAGATGAGAATCTTCTCTACCCTGTCAGGTGCCCCCAATCTAGCAGGCCCCTATTGGGGCCCCAGGCCAAGCAACAGAGCCAGGTTTTTAGGCTCTTGCAGAAGGCCAGGAGTGTGGCGGCAGATCTCACCTCTGATGGGAGAATATCCCAGAGGGTGGGTGCCGCAGCAGAAAAGACTCTTCTCCTGGATCTTACCAGGTGAAATTCTTTGGCCAACAGGATCTAAAGTAGGCCTTTTATGCTGGAACGAGTGGGCTGGGTTAGTCCCATCAGGATAAGGAGGTTTCTCAGATACCCTGGACTCCTGCCATAAAGAGCTTTAAAGGTGATGACCAACACCTTGAATTGGACCTGGAAGCAAACTGGCAGCCAGTGCAGCTCACATAACAGCAGTGTCACATGTGCCACCCAAGGTGCCTCCAGAACTATCCATGTTGTTGCATTCTGTACCAGTAATACCTTCCAAATACTCTTCAAAGGTAGCCCCATGTAGAGTGTGTTGCAGTAATCCAACTGGGAGATGACCAGGACAAGAGTTACTGTGTACAGGGCATCATGATCCAGGAAAGGGTTCAACTAGTACACAAAGCTATAAAACAAATCTGCTCAACCACTGGTACAGTGGTAGCCTTGAGCTTTGCCTCAAGTATATCTCCAAAAGTAGCATGTTAAGTCAATATTTTTCCCATAATGTTTATTTTATTCAAAAGAAAAATACAAAACTCCAAAAGAATCCAAAAAAGGACAACAAAAAAATACAAAACAGTCAAGACATTTAAAAAGTCCATCAAAAAGAAAAAGAAAACCCAACACATATATACATATTATCCCCTAATTGAATACTGATTAATACATTATTAAAATGTTGGTTCCCAACCCTTGCGAAACAGGCCCCCAAAAAATCTATTTGGGGGGTGGGGTGTAGTAAATCTATTTGCAAATTAATGACCTGTCTTCTATATACTATATTAATGACAAGATAGTTAACAGGAAGAAGAAGAAAAGACAAGATTTCAAAACTGTTAACAAACTATTATTGTAATCCACTCATAGAAAGTTTGCCACAGCATCCTGTCTATCCCAAATCATTCCAAAAGTTAAAAGTAATTCTTCCTGGATCAAATATCCACATTTTTTTCTTAATGCCATCTCTTATCAATTGTTGTATAATTAAATATAATAAATTTAGTCTCCAAAGTGGATCTATCATCCCAACAAAGTCCAAACAGAACTGGTTTCCAGTTAGATGTAATAAATCCATTCTTGAATCTCCCTCAGTCTTTGTAGGAATAAAGAATTTCTCACTTCCCCATTCCGTCAGGCTCCTAGTATTGCAAGGATATGCAGGCTTGAACTTCAAAGAAATACATGGGATCGACTCAGTCAGTTCTCCAGCTGTGGGGATATCTCTTTGGTCTGCAGCTGTCTGATCAAGGTTCTTTTGTAAAACTTTATTGAAAATGACATATACATTGTTACTTTGTGTAACTTGATCAGGGAACAAAGCACTGAAGCAAAAGGTAACACGATATTTTCTGGATATTTCAATCCAAGGTTAAAAGAAAAATTTAAAAGAGATAAACTCCAAATATTTTGCAAATTCAAAAAGTACAAAAATCCTGTGGTAAGAGTCCGCTATTAATTTAAATCAAATGAAAGCACTTCACCATCCAGAAACACAGCTGTGCTTCCATATGGAAAGAACAATGGTTATTGAAAGCAGCATAACTCAAAGGGAAAGAAAAAGAAAAAAAACAGAGTCCAGAAAGGGGTTGAAATAAATCAGCATTCAACTTTTAAGAACAAAAACCAAAGTAAAACAATACATTCAAAAAGTGAAAGTTAAAAGCCCATGCATGCTTAAGAAAACAAAATGCTGACAGGAAGATGGATATACTCAGTGTCTTTCCTACCACTTCCAGAGGGAACTGGAATATTCAAGACTCCCCAAATGGGTCCACAGCTGTCCAAAAGTTGCTTTGGGTCATTTGTGAGTGCTCCCATTCAAATCCAGGGAGCAGCACTGCCAGAGAGTTAGCTCTGGCAGCAGAATCAGCAGCTTGTTGGCAGGAAAGGGAAAAATTCCTACTGTTCAGCAGGCATCTTGGGGGATTTCATGTTAAGTCAATTTTGACCACTGGTGACAAGCAGGTAATCTTACAGTTTTCTTCTCAACAGCATGGAAGGTAGTTCAAATCAATCTGTTCAGCTGTTAGAGAAGAAATTGAGACTGGTGGCCAAAGAGGCTAATCAGGTAGTTATTCAGTTATATTCCATCAGCTCCTACAGGCATTAGCTGTCACTGATTTTGCTGTTTTATTTGCAAAAGATTGGTTTAGGCTTTTAAACTTAAATAAATGACAGGGGGCTTTAGTATACCTGTGTAGCATGAATAGATATGCTTACCATCTTATAAACTGACTGGAGGTGTACTAATGAAAAGAAAAGGCCAATTTCAAAATACAATGCTTTAATAATGACCAACAAAATAATACTTTCTTATTCTCACTCAGGCAAACCAGATGCATTTTCGCAGCTACTGACATGCCCTTACTGTGACAGAGGGTATAAACGCTTTTCCTCTCTGAAAGAACACATAAAATATCGCCATGAAAACAATGAAGATCACTTTGGTTGCTCCTTATGCAGTTACACATTTGCATATAAAACACAACTTGAACACCATATGACATCACATAAATCAGGAAGAGATCAAGTGAGTAATGAATTCTGTGATCATTCTGTTCAATACTGTTAATTGCTTTAGATATATTTCATTTTGTTTACATTTGAATTTGACTTCTTACAAAAAGGTTTTTTCTTGCAGTATTTTATATTTTATGCACAGGTGTTTTCAGTCAGTGTTATGCCAACTTTTTCAGCTGCCAAGCTTCAGTCAATGGAAATCCACTGAGTCAATTCACTATACTGTAAAAGTATGAAATCTTTCTATGAAATCACTATTATTTGATTAATCGTTTTCATCCAAGAATTTGCTTTAGGCAAACAAAAAAGTCACTATTGCTTGATTTATCCCAGCATAATCATTTTGCACTAAAGGTCTGGAAATATGCCAAGACTTCTTGCCACCAAAACTGCTTGAACAGTCCCTACCAAAACCCTTCTGTCTGCACTCACACATTTACCATGTTGTGTGGTTGTTTTATCTATTTTCTACTTACTTCTCTACCTACAGTAGTTACCACTGTTACTATGGGTCCAAAATGACCATCAACATCTTGTCCAATCTCCTTATCCAAAAGGAAGAAGACCTCTTAACAGTAGAAACAAAGGTGGACATAATATTGAGAGCTCATCTAGGGCTCAATACACTGAGCCCTAGATGAGCTCTTAACTTGGGAAAATCTTTAACCTGTACAACATTACAAAGAATGCTAATAAAATTTGTAGTGCTGTGATACATTCTACCTTTGTCTACTATGATAACATTAGAAATCCAGCTATAGAAAAGATGAAGAAAATGCTTTCACTTTACATACAGTAGGTCATGAAACAAGGAAGAAAACTTGTTTGAATAATGTAGTGTTTAAGAGCAAGGCTCTAAATGTATATTTGTCAAAGTGTTTGGATTATAAAATTTGACACTATACCCCCAAACCTTCCTTTTTTTCCTCTGGATCAGTTTCTTGGTTTATTTGAATTCACTTCATGCAAGATTTTCAGAGAATGTATCCCTAGCATAAAACAAGGGAAATCTGTATTATGTATTCTGGTACTTCCCATAACTTTACATATTACATATTGTATTTTCTTATTGATGAAATATTTTGGAACAATTATTAATTTGTCCATTTTTAAGCCTGGTGGCACAGTGGTTAGAATGCAGTATTGCAGGCTAACTCTGCCCACAGTCTGGAGTTTGATCCTGATGAGCTTGAGGTTGACTCAGCCTTCTATCTTCTGAGGTTGGTAAAATGCAGACCCAGATTGTTGGGGGCAATATGCTGATTTTGTAATTATTTTGTAAACCGGTCAGAGAGTGCTATAAAGCTGTAAAGCACTATGGAGCAGTATATAAGTCTAAGTGCTATTGCTATTTAACACTGCAGTATTGATGAATTTTATTTTTCAGTTAGAAGTTTACATTTTGTGAAGCAGAAACAATTGAAATGGCAAGATGAAGAGTAAAACACACATGGCAGATTATAATGGCTTGTAATATTGCTTGTAATCATGAGTATAGAATTTCAAATATCCTGTCACAGGAGTCCAGTGGTTTTCATGTACAGTATTTTATAATTGCTCTAAACTATTACCTTTTAGAAGCAAAATGTCCACTTAAAAGGCTTTGCCATGAAAGACAGAATATGACTATTTTAATAAAAAGTGGAAATGTTGAATGGATGGCAATGTGCACAAGTTTACATAATCTGAATAACATTGTATATTGTTTCCATTTTTATACACTGCCAGAGCATCTCTAAAATATGATATATGCACATGCCATGGATTCCTCCATATTGGAGGGGGGGTATATGTGGAAAGAGCAGGAAAGGAGCAAAGTGGCTGATGATTTAGTGACTTGTCTCTACTTCATTGACCCTTTCAACTGGTTTAGTGATTGTGCAGGTTAATTCAGGGTTCAAGGGGAATTATGCTGTATAAATAGACCTGGCCTCAAATATTGGTATGCAGATCTTTTGTAAAGACATGACAGTAGTTGTTGATCTGGAAGCCTTGAGATGCTCTGTAGTCATGGAATATCATATAATAAAAACATATAAGTGTGTTATTATAGCCAATCTCAATAAAAGTGGTTTTAGCCTTCCTGTGGAATAGATTTCCTGATTTGGTCTATCTAGTCGGGCTGAAACTCACTAAGGGTACACATCTCCAATAAACCCAGTGAATGACTCAGATCTGGTCCAAGGCAATAGTCCAGGCAGCTATCCTGAGGCTGCATTGTGCCATATGCAGCCAGCAAGATTCTCATTAGGTGTCTTTCTGGCCACAGGGTGCCTCCTTTAAGCTCCTCAGTTACCATGCCCATCCACCACTATCATTCTGGCCAAATGGCTTGGCTCTGACTGCTGCTCACCCTGTCCACCAGCCCACTATGCTCCAGTTTGAATCCAAGTGTGGAGCAGGTCCATTGGAGATGCCTGGGGAACAGACTTGCCAGATTATCTGGGAACGGTTTGATTCTCTTGGACCTGAGGAAGTAGACAGGAACCTCCAGGACGGTGACCTGCAGGTGGGTCCAAACAGTGATTAATGCATCACTACAGGAAGGGGCGTTTCTGGCACCATTTAAGGAGGCTGTGGTGCACCCCCTCTTCAACAAACCATCATTGGACCCGAGCTCTCTGGACAATTTCTGTCCAGTTTCCCACCTCCCCTTTCTAGGGAAGGTGGTGGAAAATGTTGTTGCCTTGCAGCTCCAGAGGGTCCTGGAAGAAACCGATTTCCTGGACCCCTTTCAGTCGGGTTTCAGGCCAGGTTATGGGACAGAAACAGCATTGGTTGTGCTTGTGGATGATCTCTGGCGAGAGTGGGATAGGAGTAATGCATCCATTCTTGCTGTCCTTGACCTCTCAGCAGCTTTCGATACCATAGACCATGGTTTCCTTTTGGGCCAGCTATGGGGTTTGGGACTGGGTAGCACAGTATTGTGCTGGTTCAGCTCCTTTCTCCAAGGCTGATTCCAGTTAGTGTTAATAGGGAATGAGAGGTCCAGCCCATGGCCAATCTTTTGTGGGGTACCACAGGGGTCTGTAGTTTCTCCACTCCTTTTTAACATCTACATGAAACTGCTGGATGAGATCATCCAACACCATGGGACGAAATATCGTCAGTATGCTGATGATACACAGCTTTACATCTCCATCCCTGTTCATCTAAGCAATCCTGTGGCTGCCCTCTCTGTGTGCCTGGAGGCTGTAGGGATCTGGTTGGGGGACAACAGGTTTCAGCTGAACCCAGGCAAGATAGAGTGGTTGTGGGTGCAAGGGATCTCAGGATCTGGTTGTTCATCATTGTTAACTCTCTGTGGGGATGCAGTACCCCAGACAGATCTTGTGTGTAACTTGGGGGTCCTCCTGGAGTCACGACTCCTGCTCAAAGAGCAGGTGGTAGTCGTGGGTAGGAGGGTCTTTGTGCAACTTCATGTTTTTTGTTTTTTTTTAAATAATTTTTTATTGATTTTTCATTGAAAAACAAAAACATAAATATTTTATCACAATATCAACCATAAAAAGAATCAACACCAATCAATACATTCACGGACGTGTCCGGTGTCCCCCTTCTGCACCACCCTCTCACTTGCCTACACCTTCCTCCTCCCTATCCTACCACCACTCCTCCTTCCTCCCTCTTTCCTACCTCCCTTTCTCCCTCAACCATCTCGATAGTGCAGTTGGGGTACCACCGGGCACCTCCTTAAAAAATCATCCATATATATACATATAAATCTATAACACCAACCTACCCCTTTTCCCCCTCCCCCCCAGGACTTCCCAAAGCTAATCTAGGAAATAAATACACAATCATCCAATACTGATCAAAACTACTCATTATTACTACACACTAGTACAAAATTACTATGACTCTAAAATAACATTAAATTACAACAAAAAAATTTTTTTAAGTTATATCAATATATAATATATCTAATTTTGTTCTAAGTTTTTAATCAAAAGCTACATAATAATTTTTCAGTTCATACTTTCTCTGAATGTAATCTATCCATCTTCTCCATATTGAGATAAATTTTTCCTGAGAATGATCCTTCAGGTACGCGGATATTTTTGCCATCTCTGCAAAATATGATACTTTCTGTCTCCAATCATCCATAGTTGGTAATATCTT